TCATAGTTGGAATTAGTATTTGCATTATCTGTGGTGCATAAACATCTAAAGTTATCAAACGTTTGTATTTATAAAATATATAAACAACTTCACTAAGAAGTAAATACAAAATTTAATCCGTGAATATCAGAAAGGGCCTATTCTATCATATTCACGAATTAAATTTTGTATTTACTTATCAGTAAAGATGTTTATACATAATAAAATACAACGTTTTGATGACTTTAGATATTATGCATCATATTACATGTACTATATAAAACTCTGTTCGGATCGGGTCGGGTTTGAGGTCAACCCGAACCAATAAATTCGGTTCGGGTCTGGTTTGATCCGAAAATTGTAAAATAATGGCTTTTAGTTTTACTAAAACACTTGTATTTTGTGTCTTATGTAGAGTTGTCTGAATGTAATTGTGTATATATCTACAAGTTTTCGTTTAATTTGAATTAATATTGAACGAGAAATAACGATTTTTAGGCTGACCCGAAATATTTCGGGCGGGTCACAGATTGTACCCAACCATATTGGAGCACTATATATTACTATTAGATAGTGTCTAATTTACTGCATCTCAATAGTGATAGATTGTATTTATGAATTCAATAAACTTCTTAAGAAGTTAACTATGAATATACTAAAATAGTCATTTCTTGGTTATATTCACAAATTAGTTAAAAAATTTATTGAGTGTATAAAACACAAACTATCGCTATTGAAATGTAGTAAACTGGACACTTACTATTAGGTATTATTTGTAGCTGGATTTTGAGCTATTTCATAATAATCAATATATTAATATTCCAACTACACTTTAAAGCAATCTGGACCTACATGTATTTTAAAAACTTTTAAAAGCAGCATACTTACACTTTATAAATGGTTCGTTTTTACCTCGTTTATAAACTCCGATTGAGTCACGTAATCATTTTCGCGTTTATAATCATTATCGTCCATTCGTAAGGGATACTTGATATTCCGTCCAACCAGGCTAGGATACTTTGTAAATTGTCCCAAAACCTCCTGTTGCAAGATATTCAACATTGGCAAATCTTTCATTTAAAAGATTTTGCATATTTTATATTTATTGATTTTCGCGCATTCTTTTATTTGACTATTGATATATTTATTTTCACTAAATCATTCGTTTTTTTGACAATCGGTACATTTACCGTTCCTACAATTATGAGTATTGTGATCTGAACACTCATTGCAATAATTCCCTCTTTGACAATAAAAGCATTTACTACTAATGCGTTTTAGATCTCATTTAAAACTTTAAAATGATGGTAAGTAAAATGATGATTTATTCTTTATAAACTTCCGTTTGTGTTTGTAAATCGATTTCTTATTAACACTATGACGCAAGGACACATTGTGAATTTGGTGTACTAAATGAAAAATAAATCAGACATATGTATGAGATATTTCGTAGAAAAAAAGATGCATTATTCTGACTTCATTCGATTTCTATAGTTAATCTTAATTCGACTATTCGACAATTACTTTAAACATAAAGCAAACCATAAGTTAAACGTTATGTAAATGTGATGGTTTATCAATTTAGCAAACTTTGAATAAACCTTAAGTAACTGCGTTAGTTTATCACAAGATTGGCATGTAATAACCCACTGGTAAACTTGCCCTTTTATCTGTATATAACAATTGATGATTCTGTTTCCTTCTTTCTACGAATTATACTTAAAGCGCACCATTTTGGCAAGTTATTGATTTGTATTTCGAACAGTACACTGGATGAACAATAATTTAGCTCACTTTCGCTTTTGGAAATTGATAAACACTGTCAATAGCCAATTGTGGGAAGCATCTATGTACACCCCAGTGTAACCTAAATACATGTATATATAAAATTCCAATATGGTTAGTGTGTTTTCGGAAAATTCTACAGTAATAAAGATTAATGTTAAAGTTGGCTTTAAGGTTAGGGTTAAGGTTAGGGTTAGAGGCAGAGAATAAGGTTATATGTAAAATTGTCTTCCCGACATTTTTTATTAGCACTCCAGACCAGATTTAGGTATTTGTTTCTTGTATTTTTTACATTTCTCGCATTTTTCATTTTTTTGTTTTGCCGGGTTGATCAAAAATTTATGCATTCTTATTGGCTGTTATTTGATCTAACCAAAACGGATTGGGGTGTACAATAGATGCACTCCATTTTTGGGTTTACAATGAATTTTTATTTTCGGTCTATTTTAGACCAATCAACAATCGGATGTTGATCATTGCAAATTTTTGATCAGCCCGGCAAAACAATCCGACGTGAAAAAATGAAAAATGCAAAAAATACGGGAAATGGATGTTCAAATCTAACTTGGAGTACTAATAAAAAAGGTTGGTGAGGCAATTTTACGTATAACTCTGATCTCCAACTCTATATCAACTTTTAGGTAATTTGTATGACTGCGCCATGAAACCTGGCAGAAATTCAGGAATAAGCGAGAGTTTGTTATTAATAATGGCACTTTGTAAAAGAATCTTTTGATTCAGAACTATTAATGACTATTAGAAAGCAGATCTCATAGAATATGAATAAACTTTGTCGGGTTAGCCAATAAAATTAATAACGTTCTTAAATCACGTGAAGATCGTCGTTCGAAATTTCGGACTGATCTACATTTTTGAAGAGTATACACCATGCTTTGATCTGACGCATTGGAAATATTACGTATAGGTTGGTCGAATATCTTTTCGAAACCTCGATGTGTTGACACGCGAATTTTGCTTTTTTGATTTGGAAGCCATTGCAGTTGGTTTATCAAGAGTAGACGACCATTCATCAAATTCAGCAATGTTGTTAATAACAAGAGGGTTTGGCATATAGGTTTTGATTTTCTGGATTGAGCTGAAGCTATTGTTCCCGGCACATTTGAACCGTTAGAATTATTTAATGTTGATCGTGAATCTTGAATCTTGAGAATCATTCTGTTTTGCATGTCAAAGGATTTACAACGAATCATTTATATTGTATATGTTTTACTATGTAATCTAGGATATTTCTTGTTGATATGGGTTCTTGAGCAAATATCATTTTTTTTAAAAAAAAATGATATTCAAACACAAGAGATTCTCTAAGTCCCATTATGAGAACTGTATTTCAAAGTGTAAGGGTCTTTCATAATGTAAGGGTAGTCAGCTCCTCATCCTAATAAAATACGGAATATTAGAATACCGAAAAAGAATACCCAGCGCTAATACTTCATTCGAACTCCAGTTCCGCGCATCAATTTCAATATCCCTGTCGTGACCATGCATTTTTTTTTGACGCTGTGTGATAAAGACCACCCAAACATCTTTGTATTGAGAATTATTTAAGCAAACATGTTTGCTTTAAATATGATGCATATGTTTTATCTTCAGTCAACTTCTTCAAAACCGTGTCTACGGCAGTGTTTAAAATTGATCTGCGCAGTCTGCGCACCGCAGATTGGAGACTTGTTGCGCAGATAAAAAAATTTTAAATTCAATAACATGAGGCATTGATATTATATCATGCGCATATTGAGAAAATTTTGCGCAGACAGATTATTTTGAAAGTATGCGGGCGCGCAGATTAATTTTTAAATGAATTTTAAATACTGGTCTATGGGTTCGCGAAACGAGATAAGATCACTGACAGGTAGATGCGAAGAAGACGTTGTAAGATCATCAATAGGTAGACGTGGAGGAGGCATTGCAAGATCACCAATAGGTAGACGTGGAAATTCATTGCGGTTTTCTTCAGACAGGGTTGAAGACCGCTGATTAATTTCTGAACGCATTTTCAAATTTTTCCCGTTCTTTTTCTTGATCGTTTTTTTTTTTCATTAAATCTAATTTTTCCCGTTCTTTTTTCTGGTCTTTTTCCCATTAAATGTAATTTTTCTTGATCTTTTTTTTCAGTTGTACCTATTTTGAGATCCACGACTTTTGAACTAACTGCACCAATGGGACGATAGCTCTGCAACTAATAAACAATACCTTGAGTTTGCTCGAATGAAAGAGGAAAGGTACGAAATGTCTGGTTTACTTACCAGAGGCCTAATTGTGAAAACATTTTAATTACGAATAATATTTAACTAAAGAAAACTGTATCTTATCCCTAAGTGTGCGATGAAGTATAAGGGCTGTGAGGGGGCGGGGTTGGGCTCTATAGTAAACTTATATTACGTAATATGTCACAACGACTACCCCAACGTGACCTACAAAGATGCATCAATCAGAATAGATTAATTTATCAGCCGATCCCAGTGAATCAAAAAGCGGGCGAGATGGAGAAATTATCTTTCTAAAAGAGATCATGAATCCTAGCTATTACACTTTACGTTATCTTAAAGAGCCCGAAACCCATTGTTTTCCAAACATTCAACTTTCTAACAGTTTAACTAAGACGGAACATGATGCAAATTTCCGTAAACTTATGCTTCACGCTCGTTATTTTCATAAAAAAATTTTATGGGAAGAATTTTTAGTATTAGAACGATTGTTTTATAAAAATAAAAACCAACACCAAAAGTCTTTTTACTTTCGTAGAGTAGCTGAAGTCTGTATATACTGAAGGGGTTTTTATCACGTTATAAACTTTGTCATTTGTTACTTTCTACGAGTCATTGTTTTTTTTCGTTTTATTAGACTCGGCGTATTTTACAAAGACTGAAAGAGCTTGACCTTGGGCAGTTACTGACCGAGCTTGTTCACTTGTTTTATGGTCAAAAAAGGTTGATTACATAATAAAAGTGTTGCTCATTTTCTTATTTAAGTATACTGATTAAATTGCTGATATCAGTAAAAAAGCAAAAGGACAATGGGAATTTATACCATCACGAGAGAAGATATTTTATGCACTCGATCGATTGGCAGGAGGTGCAATACTTATGAATAAAGTAAATTTATCCTCAAAAAATCTAATTACGAATAAATTTTCGATTCGTAAAAATGACTTTTTTATACTTTTTTTGAACAGGCTTTAAATGCATATTTTGATACATTCTGGTAATTTATATTTAATAAATCTGTACTCAATATGACATATAATTAACCAATTTGAAATCTCTACAAAAAAGTGAATTTCATATTCTTTTATCAAGAATGGAATTTATGACCTTATCATTGGCGATGTTATCATTATTGGCAAGATTATACATTTTAACACGTGCTTGGCTAGATGAAGTCAAAGAATGTTTCAATTTACTGAGGAATTGGGCAGATTGTTTTCCGGTGAGAACTTTATCTCAATCGTTTAGTCAATTAATCAACAATAAATCAACTTAATTTATGAGTTTACATGCTCAGATTTTATCAAATGCTCCAAAAGATTTAGAATTGTATAGTGGTCTGAATCTTCCATGTGCGTTAGAGATTAAAGATTTATTAGCAATGAGGTTGGTGAATAAGTAAAATTACCTTTTATCTTTAGGAATTCGAATATTAATAATAACAATAATCATGATAGAGATTCACAAAGTAATAATAGAATTAATAACAGCTCAACTGCTTTTGAAATGATGATTAACGAATTGAAGTCGAATAACGATAACATTTATAAAGACAATAACAATAATAATAATAAAAAACTGTAATGATTTCTACCAATATACATGACAATTCTTCACGTCCATCGGGAAAGAAAATAATAATGGTAAGAAAATAATGTAACATTGGCTTATTGATCATTTATTATCTACTCATATCCGCTTTTCATCAAATCCATTTTCGTAAAAACACAAGCTCAATTCATGAATCTCTTGTTTAATTTGAAATTTCTGACGCGTCTTTTGTGAACAAAGAATATATATTCTTTATCCTTTTTAAGATGAACATTTGATAGTGATACTGAGATAGTTAAAAATATAATTGTAATTTTGTCAAATAACATTAATCTGAATGGATGTTCTTTAACTAACAAAAATGTCAATGCAACAATAAAAGAGAAATGTGCTTACTCAGGATGTCAAGCAAACGAGATAACCAAATGCATATGTAAAACGAATTGAAAAATCTTTTAGACGAAAAAAAGATTATAGCAAATTAACGAGGAGTGAAGATGAAACGCTCTCATGTGATATATCTGATATGTTACTGAATTTACTAAATTAAATACTCTCGAAAACCATTCGTTTTATTTGCGTGTAGGCACGGAATATATTAATAAGGAACGCATGTCTTGCCCTCTTTGCCTGCTGTCTGATATTATGAAAGTTCTATAAGTCCCAGTTTTGAATCAAGAGAAAAGGAAGAGGTCGATCTGTTCGATCTGATTGCAAAAATTCTAACATCCGTGAGACGTCCAATTGAGACGAGTATTTTTTGCAGAGATATCAGTTGACCTGTGCCATAGAATTCGAGACTTATATTTTTACTCAATAAAAGCAATCTTTAATTTTGGGGCACACACACATATTCACGATTAAAAAGTAAAATCAAAATTTATTATCATAGAAATGTTAGGATCATAAGACCATTTACAAATGATTATTGATGTAGCTCGGCCCCTAAGCCATATAATAATTCCTTTCCGATATTCTGTACTAATTTCTTTGCTAATGATAACACTTTTTTTACTTTTAACCCACGGCCTAATCAATCGGGTGTTTCTTTTACACTTATAAAAACTCCTCACTGTTGCTGCCGTAATACTTCCTCTTTAAGTGCACGAATTTCATCATTGTACATCTAAACTACATTTTTTTTCTTTCCTAATAGCATTAAAGAGATGACAAAAATTCCTCCCACATAGTCAAAGTATCACCTGAGAACCAGAAAAAGAAGGGGTCAATCAATCACGAATAAATTCATAACGATAAGTTCATCAATAGACGTGAGATTTCACCCCCGTGATATAAAAATTTCATCGCGTGAGATCGTCGCGTTTGGCACTACCACCACTGATTTAAATATTTTACTAGAGGAAAAAAAATAAACATTCCAATTATATAAATATCGGTCTTTTGGATAATTGCTCTTTTAATCAAGCCTTTATTTATTGTAAAATAATATTAACATTCTTTTAAGCTTATTAAAAAATATGCAAATATTGTTAGATGCCAAAATTTTTGTAAGTAATAAATATTAAACCAAAAAATCTATGCTGCGTGCACCCTTAGCCTTGGTCTTTCCATCTAAATAAAAAAAAGAAGATATTAAATATCATCATGATCCTCCGCGAAAAATTCAAGTTCGTCGATATCTGTGCCATCAAACAATCGTTGATTACAAGGAGACTTTGGATCATTGAAATGACGATAAGGTTCTGCGGGATCAATCCAGTGACCACATAAATAACAAAAATGTGTCTCGCAACGTGTGCATCGCATGTGATTACATCCCATCGATTTCTCAATAAATGTGTCACATTGTGGACATGGTTGTGTGTTTGATCTAGAGAAAATTTTTATTAATTTATTATTATTGAGGATTTTGTGAAGAGTTAAGTGACGAAGACTCACCTCATCCATTCTTCAGATTCTATTTCTGATAATGTGTCACGCACCAATTTCTCGAGATTCTTTGGACCATAACGTAATTTCATTAACGCTTTCTTGACATCATCAGCAGCTAAATATTCTTTAACAACATGCTTCACATTTTTAATGGCGCATGCTATATGAGGCCCATGCCTAATAATTTAGTAACGATAGAAATATTGAAAACAGTAAATAAATTATAACGAAATCCAAAAAAAAACTTACCAAGTTCTCTTACACATCCAACAAAATGCGAATCCACATTTTTCGCACAGACACAATTTCTCAAAATCAGAACTTTTTTTAACCGGTGTTTGACATGTTTTCAAAGGACAATATGTTATCAGAGGATTTGTTTCGATTTCAATTTTCTCCATTAACTGTTTGATTGAAATAAAAACAAATATCCAAAATAAAATATTCATAATATAAACAAAATAAAAAAAAAATGAGATCAACTTACGCGCGCATAACGTTCTTGCATTTCCGTACCAACAATTTCATCTAAAACTTCTTTTGTCAATACAGTTTGCACTTTACAACCAATATCTGGACATTTGACTTGTGAGACAAACCCTTCGCGTATAAGCATCTCGAAATATCCACAAAGACATTCTTGACAAAACACGTGTTGACAGGGTTGCAATTGGATACAACGCGAACCGGGCTTATTCTCGAGACATATCCCACAGTCGAAATGATTCTCTGCGAATTCCTTGTTCATAGCATCACGATTATATGACCAGATAATGTCCTTGAGTCTAGTTGTGCCTATAAATACTAAATAAATTTTATTAATACATCGCATATATAGATTAATCTTTATTTAATAATCTCTAAATCGCGCGCACCAACCATCTACTAATTTCAGGGGAAAAGTAATTCCCAAGAATTCCAACGCGTTCTCTTGGATAAATTCTGCATATCGGTATAATACCTAATTAGACCACACCAAAAAAGAAAAACCAATCAACATGCCGACGATAAAAAAATTCCATTTCAAGAAAAATATCACATACAACATCCCGTTCCTCTTCCCAGATCTCTTGCAACTTATTTTTTAAACTTAGCCTATAGTTATCACTCAACCAACAACACTTCACAGTAAAATCTAATCCTTCTCGCTCGGGATATAAAGCCGGCATTGAAAAATCAATAATTATCGGAGGGAGATATCGGATTTTTAGTATTTCCTCGTTAGTACTAATGAGGTTAATGTTGCTGTCGCCATTAATAGCATGGCTTGAAAAGCACACACGTATTTCGTTCGGTAAAGTGACTCTTACGGAGAAAGAGCCAATGTACTGAGGAATCGAGTTCTGTGTCTCTGTATAAGTGAAATCTTGTGGGTAAATAGCCTATATATTTATAGTTAATTCCGAATGTATGTATAGAAATGCTCGAAAATGGAACAGTGAGCCAGCTTCCGTGCTATTTTTGCAAAGACACAACCAAAAAGACATGTAGTTTGATCTGCTTACCTCCAAAGCTAATATTTCATTCTCTTGTAGCATCAAACTAGAACTGTCCATGATATTTAATCTATAATAAAGTTTATGCTTAATCATTTATATTACTGTTACGTATGTGATCACGTGTTTCGATTAAGCTCATTCGCTTGTGACAAAAATATTGGAGATATTTTTCATTTTTTCATTGTGTCTTTTGCTCCATATACTAATCCTCAAGTACATTATCCACGGTCGTGAAATCATCTCAATGGTATTTTACCGAGACCGTGAATACTACTTTATCGTGCCTATGCTTTTGTATAAATTTTAAAAAAACGCGTATTTTTCAAATAATTAATTAGATTCGTTTCATCCTAGTACAAAATCGACAAGGAAAAACACGTCTCTCGAAATGGTATGTACCATACGAGGACGAAGAAAAGATAAAGCTCAAAGGAGAAGTACATCGATTGGTTGCACCACGTGATCAGAAACATCAGTCGAATTTTGTAGAGGTAAGAAATCGTATTCAATTATGTATTTTATTGTTTTACTTTACTCATAATATTTAAGATTCATGTATCAATTTACACAAAAGTTTCGAAACTACAAAATAGTGTATCGACGATACGCCGGGCTCTTCTTTTGTGTATGTGTCGATGCAAATGATAATGAATTAGCCTATTTAGAAGCGATACATTTCTTTGTTGAAGTGCTAGACGCGTTTTTCGGAAATGTTTGTGAATTGGACTTGGTGTTTAATTTTTACAAGGTATTTAAATTCTTTGGAGGAAGAGAAGGAGGATTGTGAGCTATTATTGATTTCTTGATTTTTGTTATAATAGGTATATTCTATTTTGGATGAAGTTTTTTTGGCGGGAGAGATTGAAGAGACTAGTAAAAACATAGTGTTGACACGGTTAGATCATTTGGATAAATTAGATTAGTGGTTAATGGAATAATCCTATTTAGATGGGTAAATTAAAGATTATGTGTATTTTTATGCGTGTATATATATATATATATAGTGAATTTATTTATTAGAAAAGATAGCGATAGATCTTTCTTTAATAATGAGAAAGGTGACGGCAATGTTTTAATTCTATGGATATTTATTATATTTGAGTAGATAAAATACTACTAAGAAGTCAAAATAAAATATATAAATATACTAACATGGTAATAATGGCATAACCTAATTATCACTTTTAATTAAAAATCTTATAAACGGTCAACATTTCCCAAATCACGACAAGCCTGTTGCACACGTTTCGCCATACTCTTTTCAGCCTCACGAATAAACACACGAGGATCATAATACTTTTTGTTTGGTTTATCTGCACCATCAGGATTTCCGACCTGCGTTTGAAGATAACCTTTTTTGGGTTCATAGAAATTCCTTATACCTTCCCAGTAAGCCCATTGCGTATCGGTATCGACATTCATCTTCACAACACCATAACTGACAGCTTCAGTAATTTCCGCGGACAATGATCCGGAACCACCGTGAAATACCAACCACACAGGTTTATCGGTTTTTGCCCCAATCTTCTCTTTGACGTACGCTTGATGCTTCTTTAAAAGAATTGGCGAGAGTTTGACGTTTCCTGGTTTATAAACGCCATGTACATTACCAAATGCAGCAGCGATAGTGAATAAATCACTAATCTCACTCAGGTTACGATAAACATCCCAAATATCTTCAGGTTGTGTATAAAGTGAAGCATTATCCACCCCAGTATTATCAACACCGTCTTCTTCGCCACCGGTAATACCAATTTCCATTTCGAGCAACAGATTAACCTTCTTCATACGTTCCAAGTATTTCTTACACATAGCGATGTTTTCGTCTTTTGGTTCTTCTGAAAGATCAAGCATGTGCGAACTGAATAAAGGTTCACCGTGTTGTGCAAAGTATTTTTCATCCGCTTCCAACATTCCATCAAACCACGGCAAAAGTTTCTTGGCACAATGATCAGAATGCAAAACTACAGGACTTTATTCATTATTAATAAATTATAACAGTTAGTTAATGATATAAGAGGTTAGCATACAGTCAAACCTCGAGATAACGAAGCTCTTAGTAAAAGTTTTTAAAAATTCGATTTGTTTAGTAAATAAGAAATTCGATTTATCGTGGATTTATTTAATAAATTCGATTTATCGTGGATTACTATAACCATTTCTGGAACCGACTTAAGTTTATCCAGGTTTAATTAATGCTTCGTTATATCGAGGTTTGACGGTAAATAATAAAAAAAGAAATAATACATACATTCCATACTCTTTAGCAACATGGCGAATATGATTAGCAGCTGAAATAGCACCAACAATAGAAGCACGTTGTCCTTCGTTGCTCAAGCCTTTGCCAGCATAAAATTGGGAGCCACCTTGCGAGAGCTGAATAATAAGCGGTGCCTTAACATCCCGAGCTGCTTCCAGTGCAGCATTAATAGTGGACGAGGAACTAACGTTCACCGAAGGGATGGCGAAACCGTGCTCATGTGCGTATTGAAACAATTTACGAACGTTATCACCGGTAATAACACCAGTTGGAACAATCTCAAGCAAACCCATTATTATAGAATAATTTCTTTTAATTGATAGAGAGAAATAGGACTTTATACTTCTTTTCGGAGACAGAAGTTTCTGAACTAATTATCCACATAAATGATGATAATCACGCATAACGATCGATTTCTCTTCACGTGATTTTATGTTCCGATTTTCCAAGTCACAACAATTACCCGAAGCATTCCGCATTATTAAAGGTTAGGGTTAGAGTTGGAGTAAGGTTATCGTTATATGTAAAATTGTCTTCCCGTCATTTTTTATTAGTGCTAAAAGTTAAGTTTAAGCATCTATTTCCCGTATTTTTGGTGAGCCGGAGTAGTTTTCAGTGACCTCAAGTAGTACCCTAGCCATGGCGAGAAAAAAGTTTCGGATCATGTGATATTTGTGTATTTCCGGAAAAATTATACAGTAATAAAGATTCTTGTTAAAGGTTAATTTAAAGGTTAGGATTAGAGCGGGCTAGAGCTGGAGCCAATAATATATATGAAATTGCCTTCCCGACATTTTTTTTAGTGTACCAAGCTAAATTTAGGTATTTGTTTCCCGTATTTTTGCTTTTTTCATTTTCTTGTGTCGGATTTGTTTTTTCCGGACTGATCAAAAATTTACGAATTTTTGTATTCAGCTCTAACCTAACCTTAACGTTAATTCTAAAACCAACTTTCTTATGTTAATTAATATTACAGTAGAATTTTCCGAAATCAACAAAACATGGCACAGATTTCTTACGTGCGGGTTCTAGACCTTATTTTTAATATTAAAATTTAGTGACCAAAAGTCACTTGTCAAACAGCAAATGACCAAGAGATAATCATGCATGAATCTACACCTTCTAATGATCTAAATGTTGTACAAAATAAAGTCAATAATTTAGAGTAAAGCTAGAAATAAACTTTCGAAGAGGCAAAAATACCTAATCACGTTAACACACCAGAAAATGGCAACAACACCAAACCAAACCAAAACTCAAAAGTCTTCAGGAGGAGGAGGAGGGGTCAACGTCAGTAATAACAACAATAAATCCAGCAAAAAAATAAAATCAAAACGTCCGGGACGTAAAACAGCCTCGAAGACAAAGGTGGTAGTTCGTCGTCTCCCACCGAATGTGCCCGAGGAAAAGTTTATGGAATCGGTCAAGCCATGGGTGAATGAAAAAACCATAGATTGGCATAGATTTCATCCGGGGAGAGTTAGTAAGAGGTTGTTCATTTTTGTGCCATTCAGTCTCTTATCTAATGCCGAAAAAATCTTTATTGATTTGTATTGATTATAAAGTAAAAATAAAGAGAACATATTTTCGCGTGCATATTTTCATTTCAAGACTGACGAAATGGTGTTAGAATTTCATCGTGAATACGATAATCACTTGTTTGTCGATAGCAAAGGTATGTACCATTATATTCAAAAGAAGTTTTCGTATATAATAAATATCTATGCTTTAATTATACAATAAACTAGGAAATGAAACGAGAGCAGTCGTAGAATTTGCACCTTTTCAAAAACTTCCTAAAGAACGTAAGAAACCTGATCCACGACAAGGCACAATCGAATCGGGTATATATAACTATTATTGTACCAATCATGCAATTAGTATTCATAAAGTGGTTTGCTTATAACTTTATTTTTAATATGCTGGTACGTAGATCCAGATTATCTCGCGTTTGTTGAATCATTGAAAGCCGAAGAAAATGCACAGATAGCATCTAAAGAGGCAACCATGCAAGAAGGTGGTACCCAATTGGAAAAATTAGAAACAAGATTAGCAATAGCGGCTGGTATGATTGTTTATAATATATCAATTAATAAATTATAATAAAATCGTGCTTTACAATATATTTCGTGATATTCAATATTACCGTTATGTATTATAGCCAATGCAGCAGCTGCCGCGGCTGCTACCGAAAAACCTAAAACCACCCCACTACTTGAACATCTACGCGCGATTAAATCGGGTCTTAAAGTGAAAGCACCGTCACCAAAAACAATTATAAAATCATCGTCATCGTCCGCAAGTGTCATGTCTCCGTCAACTCCCAAACTTGGTAATAATGGGGGAGGACACAACAGTGGATCGAAACAATCAAAAAATTTTAATGGGAACGGATCTCCCGATGGTTTTTTATCGAGAACTTCTCCACCGTCAGCTTCTGCAAAGTTGAGTAGAAAAGAACGCGAGAGGAAGAAACGTGAGAAAGAAAAAGAAAAGAAAGGAAAAGAGAGAGAAAAAGATAAATTCAAAGAACAAGAGAAAGAAAAATATAAGGAAAAAGATGTTGAACGTGAAATTGCTAGAGAAAAAGAGAGAGAGAAAAGGAAAGAGAGGGAGCGGGAAAGGCGACTTGAACGTGAGAAGGAAAAGGAAAAAAACAAAGCACAAGGCTACGAACAAACAGCAGTGGAAACATCAACTAATTCACCTGCTTCAGAAAAGAAATTTGATGCTAGAGAAAGGGAACGCGAAAGAGAGCGAGATGCTAAAAGAAAATTTTCTATTCAGCCGCAACAAAAAGATAAAATTCGTCAGATTATTCAACGTCCTGCTCCTAAAAAAGAAGATGAACCAGAGACGATAGAGAACCAATCAACTACATCTTCCGTTGATTCTAAAGTCTCTGAAACAGATAAAGCATCACAGACCGCTGTAAGAGCTGAATCATCACCATCCCCAATTCAACCTTCTACTACATCATCTTCGTCATATAACACACCTAGGGGTCCTCCAGTTCCTCCTAAAAGACCTAAAGATCATGGTCATCCTCGTCGTCGTGAAAGAGAACGAAATAAGAGAATGATTGCTGAGGCGAAAACACCTGGTCAAATAAAGATTTTGACTAAACCACAAGCACAGAAATCCGAAAATAATAATCCTACTACTTCCTCATCATCAAATGCAACTGCAGCTCCATCGACTTCTGTAACAACAAGTGCTAATTCTTCAACTACCAATAATGCAAATGATACTAATAAACCATCAACGTCAACATCCACTTCCACCAATAATAATAGCCAATCATCACCTACTCAACAACAGCAACAATATCATCATAATCATTATAATGGTCCCAGAGGAGGACGTGGTGGCAGAGGTTATTTTTCAAGACGTGGAAGGTGGTAGCAAATATCAAAAAGCTAATCTATATATATCTGCTATCAAAACACTAGTTATGATCAAAACTTATAAATCTATAATGAATGTGTTGCTACTTTCGATAAAAGTTATCAAATTGCTAAATTGATTTCTTCCACGTATCATAATATCACAATATTTTTATATTTCCAAATTAACAATATTAGAACATTGTGATTCAAGAATAAATATGCCATTTTGGAACTGGAAGACTTATGAAGTAATTTTCTCTTGTAATATTGACAATTCCAAATGTGCTTATTTGGAGTAGTGTTGGACTATGACCTTGATATGATCTCAAAATTGAGTCTTATGACCAAAGTCATATGAAAAATGGCTTATGACCATGAAATTGATTTGGAGGGCCAATAAAAATCAACTCGATCAATCTTGCTCGCATTATTAACAGAAAAACTTTTTACTCTGCTATATAGAGAATTTAAGACAATGGCGCGAACCCTTATACGCTTAACACGCTTAACAACTGCAAATCTTAAAATCCATTGCGATAATTTAGACCTAACTGAAACCCAGTTTCGTTCTCAAAGAATGATCGATTATGTGAATTATGCACAAACAAGTTTGGGCAGTGATGACTATGACGTTGATAGCTCAACAATAAATTCATTTGCGCAAGCGTCTGTTGTTGTCGAAAACCGCCTGCAAGCTCCAGACGGCAGAAGTATTGATGGTTTTATTTATGGTCGACTTAATATATTGGAGGCGAGTGATAACTCGTCAGTTGAAGAGTAGGTTATTCATGAGCGAAAATTGACAGCAAAATACATAAGTTATGTTAGAAATTTAATATGATTTATCACTAATTTATTTTTGAAGAGATGAAGAAATGCAATCGAGATATGGCGGTGATGTCTTTCTTGGAACTGGCACGAAGAGAAAAAGAGAAGAATCGATCAGTGATGAGGAGGAGGCATCCAGCTACACCGAAGAAACTAATAAAGCTAGCGAAACTAAAGAATCTTCTGTCGCGGCTCGCCCGCGAAAGAGAATTCAGGTGGCAAGAATGAGAGCGACTCCGTGGTACCTCTTACCACAAAATAATGAATAACCCACTCCACCATCGAAAAAAAAAAGGTAAGAAGCTTATGTATTTGTTCTTACCAAAAACTAACGGCGTGAAGGTAATTAATTAAGTAATCACTTTAAGAAAGTTTTTTGCAATTATCTCTATTTTTATGCGAATTTTGACTAATTTCTCTGCTAATGATGGGACCCGCAATTAGCGGCAATTCAATTTTATATGCCGCAATTAATCTCTGTATACAAAGTATCGAAATGAATCAGAAATTCTGATGAAGTCTAAAGTGTTATAACAATATTATCTTTATGAAGGGCCTGAAAAGGTATAAGCTCTTTTATTTAGCAACAACTGTTTTTGCCGAATTGATTTGTCTGCAGTTTTAACATAACCTCTTCATCCATAGTGCTCTTGATCAAAATATTTATGAATCCATCAGCAAAAGGACTTTAGTAAGAATGTCGCTGGAACAAAAAGATCCTTTTAATGTTGCAATAGAAGTAATAAGGGACATTACGCGTTTTCGAAAGATTCAGAATGCCCGTAAGTTGTTGATTAATTGGTTTGATTTGGCACAACATCTAGTGAGCTTTCTAATTCGACATCAGGCTACTTTTTGTCACGAGAATACTTTATTAGTGTTATTGAATAATCACCCGTTTTCTGATAGCTAGCAATTTCAGCAATAATTTTTTGAAACTGCCCAAACGATTGAAAATATGTCTACGATTTTCAAAAGAAATATAGTATAGGGGCCCTTTAATTCGATTCGAAGGAAATTAATGCAAAGTCAAAAGCACTTGTGGAGCGGTTTCACGGTTTGAAACGAATAGACAGAAAATTTCTGTTTTTAAGACTGAAAACATTAACAATCAATGATAAAGTTGCTATTGGGTGGTCACACATATAAAAAAAGACGAATAGTATAAACAATTATTTCATTGTGCACTTAGTACTATTACGACAACTTGAAAGTTGTTATTGGTGGGTATTTGTAAGTAGTGGATACTTGATTTTTCGGGCAATAATTTTCTTACAACAAAGTGGATTGTAGATATTCATGATTTCATAATTGACGCGTACAATGGCTAATTTTTTATCGGTCAATTATTATTAATTCACTCGTGTGAGAATGGTAATTTTTCAAGTAAATAGCTCACTCTTTATAAGCCTTCAACTTCCACACGCACACAATTCGACAAAGACTCGTGTTGTTATTCGTTATGGTGAAATTGGATAGAGAAGGTTGTTGGGCGAGGGATAAAGCCAGCTAAAGTATGTAGATAGATTTTTTGCACGAGAATCGTTGTTAGACAATTTTTTATTATATATAGTTATATAGTGAAATTATTGAGAGTGTGACGTGTTTGTTTTTCTAAAGTGATATTTTTATCATGTAAGTATTGTAAGTGCAACATAGATAGCGTAGAGAAATTAATTGAATTAATTGTCTTGTGTTAACTTGGTATTTAATAAAATAAGAAAGTGTCTCTATCAATATTCAAATGTGGGTTTCGCCTATTTCTTTGATGTTGTCCATTATACTCTGCGCCAAATACAATGTTCATGAAATTGGCAATGCAAGTAACGGATTGTCACCCTTCAGCTTCTTAAACTCTGTTGGTATAATCTCATCATTTGTAACAGACCTTCTCTTAGTATTGCTCACACGTTTAGTTATATCATAGCAACATGTCATCTCCAAACATGGAATCTATCGAGACTATATTTCGTAAATACTGATTGTTATGGAAAAGCTATAGTACTTAACAAGGTTGAATGCTAAACTAAAACTTCATCAACCCGGTTCAAAGATTCTATTTCCAGTAACTCCAATCAATAATTACAGCAAACTTTGATACCATAGATATTACAAGTAAAAAATCCACTTATTAATATTATCTTATGAATTACGACACAATACCTCAAAGCCTTCACAATCACTAACTATTAATAATAAACAAGAGAATTAAGGAAATGAGCAAATAAAATAAAACACAAATAAAAAATGGATACACCAATCAAATACCCAATTATGAAAGGCTTTGCGAATCTCCAAAGGAAAACTGAACAAAACCAAATGCAAATCTATCATCGGGAGCAAACAATAATCTGCAACATACTTCGAATCAAAAGAGCTCTTAATAATAAAATTCAAGAGTAAATACATAGTATAAAGAAACCCACTCAGCCCTGAAGAAAAATTGTTCTACCATCTCTCAAAGTATTTAAAAAAAATAAGTGATCAAATAAAAAACACGATAACAAACAAAAAGAGTACAAACAAAATGGATTAGATAAAAGCAAAAAGATTTAATTTCTTGTTTGGCATTCTTAATTTCTTGCTCAACATTATCAACAAAGCTCTGATTTCTCATTCAATGTCATTGACCAAGAACAAATAGCTTCGATTCTTTGTTCGACATCAACAAAATTCTAATTTCTCACTCAACATCAACAAAGTCCTAACTTCTTGCTTGATATTATTTACAAAGAATAGGTACCTCCGATTTTTCATTCGACATCATCAATAGAGCTCTGAGTTCTTGCTCAAAATTATTGACAAATAACAGATACCTCCAATTTTTCAAACAAAGAGCTCTAATTTCAAAGAACAGATATCACCAATTCCTCATCAAAGTTCTAATTTCTCATTGACAAAGAATAGATACTTTCGGGTCTTTTACATTCCGTGCATATTTGACGATTTATTTCGATCTGAATTATACTAATATTTAGCTTGAAGCATTTTTACTGCGTCATACGATCACGTTTATGTGTGTAGATCAACCAATCAAATTGCAAATCAAAAAATTTATGTGTAATTATGATGTCATGTGATCTGTAAATATAAAGAAAAGGCTATCTCTACCAAAAAATGATATCATTTTTGAGTTTATTTGATACAATTTAGTAAATTTATTATGCTCAACAAATATATATATTGTTACCGTTAGTAATCTTTACGGATGAAGATCTTTACTAGAACAATAAGCAGTAACTGCGTTATGTGAAAAAGCGTAAAGGAATAAGCAAAATGTAAAATAATCTTTTAATATTATTTGTTAGCTAAAGCGCTAAAAGATTCACAAAGAATCTTACAAGTTCATAAAAAATCTTTAAAAATAAAGTGTATTTTTATAAGAATAAAATAAGTTCACCAAGAACTAAATGAATTCACCAAGAATTTAAAGTATTTATAAAGGATTTTTAAGAAAGATAGAACACAAAGTTCTTTAATAATTTAACAAATACTTTACCAAGAAGTAATTTAGATTCACCAAGAATCTTTATTATTAATCAAGAAAAGAAAACACAAAGTAATCAATTCTTCTGACGAACACACAG